ATTGTTATATGAAGATAAAGGAAGCATTCAGGTCTCTGGGTATTGTGATGCAGATTGGGCAGGTTCACCTATTGATAGACGGTCTACTACAGGATATTCTGTTTTTCTGGGAGGAAACATTATTTCATGGAAAACTAAGAAACAGAATGTAGTAGCTCGATTAACCGCGAAAGCCGAGTATAGGGCAATGGCATCACTAACATGTGAACTTATATGGGTGAAACAATTCCTTCAAGAAGTTAAATTTTGTGACATCCATACTATGAAGATGTATTGCGACAATCAAGCTGCTCTCCACATTGCATCAAATCCAGTGTTTCACGAGAGGACTAAACATATAGAAATTGATTGTCATTTTGTTCGTGAAAAGTTGTTGACCAAAGAAATATGTACTGAGTTTATTGGGTCAAACGATCAACTCGCAGATGTATTGACCAAGTCATTAAGGGGTCCTCGAATTGAGTTTATTTTTTCCAAGCTTGGTACATACAATTTGTATGCTCTTGGGGGAGTGTTAGAATATTTATCATATTTTATCATCATTATAGTGTGTCAAGGGTTACCCTATTTATCAGGATTATATTGTGTCTAGGATTACCCTATTTATCATGATTATATTGTGTCTAGGGTTACCCTATTTATCATGATTATATGGTGTTAGGGTTACCCTATTTATCATGATTATATTGTGTCTAGGATTACCCTATTTATCATGATTATATTGTGTCTAGGATTACCCTATTTATCATGATTATATGGTGTTAGGGTTACCCTATTTATCATGTACTTGTGTATCAATTTATTCTTATAAATAGGAGATTGTGAGAGGGATCAATTAAGCCCTCTAGAATTATTTTACAGTTTCAATCTTAAGTGCTGAATTGGATCAATAGGGCGGATAAATTCTGAGTTACAAGGGGTGTCCGAGGAAGAAAAGTTGTGTTTGGCCTACATCAGTATGGAAGGTAGTGCCAGATTCTGGTTCAGATTCTGGAGGGAGCAAACAGATAACCGAACGTGGACAGGACTGAAGGAGGCAATGGTGGTAGGGTTCGGAAGAAGATAATATAATTGCCCTTGTATTCATTCATTGCCTATTTTTCTTTTGTTGAGGGTTTGGGTGGCTTTGCTACATTGATGTCTTGTATTCCACCAAAAGATACCTTATCCCATGATGGATAGACAAAGACATTGGTAAATGAAGCAACATTTACTAATTACCTGCATTTTCTGTATAAGGTTTACCTTCATTTATAAGTATAGTCATTCTTGCTTTTCACTCTTTTTGTTATGTAAATTGATTCTACATGCAATTATAGACTTTTTTCATGATTCATCCTGATTTGGATCAGTTCTTTATGACCGGTTCAGGCACATGATCTAATTTTTGCAGTTAGTGCTATTTAATATGTGCAGGTGGGAGTTCAAAAACTCTGGTGATTGTGAATGTGTGTCCAAGTGTTTCAATTTTATCTGAGACATTGTCATCTCTCAATTTCTCTGCCAGAGCTCGAAATTCTATGTTAAGCCTGGGAAATCGAGACACAATTAAAAAGTGGAGAGATGTTGTAAGTTTCCATTCTCAGTTCTCCGTTTTGATCTTTTTACTCGTCAGTGTGAATTTCTTTTAGATTATTTTTAAAGTTATTAGTACATATTACATCTGATAAGATTGTATGTGGATTGATGATGTTGAGTGCAAACTAGGGTGTCAATGGTTACAAATTTTGTATTTATACCATGTATTGTATTTGTCATATTTTTTATTAGGCAAATGATGCACGAAAGGAGCTCTATGAGAAAGAAAAAGAAATCAATGATCTGAAGCAAGAGGGTTTGGAGCTCAAGCAGGCACTTAAGGATGTAAATGATCAGTGTGTTTTACTCTTTAATGAAGTGCATAAGGCATGGAAAGTTTCTTCCGCATTGCAGACTGATTTAAAGGTTTGGTATTTGAATTAGCTAACAGTTTTCCAGTTCTTTATGCAGTGAGTGGTTATTTGGTGACTTGTGAAAATGTGATATGCTTGGGTTATGTCAATTCATTAAGCAATTCTTTATTATTTGTGCTACAACATGTTAAAGAGCATGTATGCATTTAAGTTTTAAATCAGTCTTTTAACTGCATACTCACTGTCAAGTATTCTATCAAATCCAACATTGTGCATCTTCTGATGTATTCTTGATTTTGGTTTGCTGAGGTGGTTTTTCTGTTAAATATTTTAAACATTTTGTGTTGATTTCTGATCCATGAAGTTACAATAACTAATTGACATTTTTTATCTTATCCCAATCTATATTTACAGTGTTTTTTTGCTTTTTCTAATTTCATGAATTGTTCTTTAACAACATATTACTTTAGTTAGCACGATTCAATATTTTGGGCTGCAAAATTGGCCTAATTCCGCGAGAATGTCTATCCTTTATTAGCAACTCTAAGTTGATATGTTTTTAACATAGTCATCTGACTTGCCTGTAACCTGCATTATTGTTTTTGTATGTTGTAGTTGGAACATGTTTTGCTGTCAGACAAACAAAATATAGAGAAAGAACAAAATACTCAGCTTAGAAATCAAGTTGCTCAACTTCTACATTTAGAGCAAGATCAGAAATTGCGGATTCAAGAGCAAGATTCAACCATCCAAAGTTTGCAGGTTGGTCCTATGTTATACTAGCTTGCATTACTTATTTATGGGAACTTCTTGAATGATACAGAAGTCCAATTTCTAAGTACTTTAACAACAGTTTCTCGATAAAAGGTTACAATGGTCTAACATAACTTTTCTAATTAATGGATGTTCATCAGTTTTGTTTGCCAGGAAGCCTTATGTTACTTGTATACATAACTTATAATTGAACTTTAAATTCTTTGCAATTGCTTCTGTTTCTTAAATTCTTATTTCCTTTTTTTTTTTCATTCACTCTTCCGTTTGAGTTTTGGACTTTATACATCTGGTTCAATGCTCTGCTTGTGCTGTGCTTTCTTCATGCTAACAACTGCTATTTATATTATCAAATTTATGTGTACAGGTGACATTTCTAACACAAGGCTGTACCAACGATAATGTCATGATTGAGTAGTTTGAACGAATGTTTTTAAAACCAAAAAAGTCATTGAATCGGGGAAAATACTGATTCAAGGTTTCGAGGTTCAAATGTGTTTGAAACAGTATTAATAAAATAGCCATAAGTAGATGATATTAATTTCGAATAATTATATAACAATGAAAAAAAAGCACCATATTTTAGGTTCTTAACACAAAGAAAACATGAAAAGAGACTAAATCAAAACTTAATACTTTATGTTTTTTACAAAACAAAATATTATCCATCAACAATACAAGTTCATGTGTAGAAAACAAAAAGAAAATGGCAAATTGATGTAATATAAAATATAGTAAATCAAGATAAACAATTTTCTAAATTAATATAAGTGACCAAATTATGTTTTCTGTAACATAAAAAACAAATAATAATTTCTAAATTAATTTATTTGTATGTTTTATACTTATTATAGAAAAGTGATGCCTTATATCTCAAGAGGGGGTGATTGGATTTTGTTTCAAAAATGTTCTTTTCAAAAACTTAGCAAAATCTTTGGTTTTCTTGAAATCAATAAAGCAAATATAATGAATCAACAATAAAAGAGAAAAAGGAGAGAGCGATCAATACAACAATATATACTGGTTCGGTCAAACCTACATCCATTCTTCCTTCAATCAACCTGAGTTGAAGGGATTCCACTATGACAAAGTATACAAGAATACATAGATATCCCGTCTCAATGCACTCTCCTACCCACTAAATATCACTTATAGAAATACAAGATGTGAACACCCTTACAATCTACACAACCAGAGAACATTCACAACTCTCTAAACACCTTGAGAACAATCCTAGCTCTCAATGAGAACAATCACAGTTCTCCCCTTGGCACAACCATAAAGGAACTCAATCTACATATTGAAAATGATGAAACTGATCTTCACAACAACACTCTAGTAGTGTTGATATGATCATAACACTTTAAGCTCACTTTCTTGTTAGAATCTTGATGTATAAACCCAAATTTGGTCTTTGACTGTTCAAGACTGATCTTAGACGCTCCTGCAATCAATACACAATTAAAATATTAGTTATGAAATTGATAGCTCAAAAGATTAGTTTGAAACAACGCGCAAGACAATTATTTATAGGATTTTTGAATCCTGACGCACATTAATCGATTACGTAATTTATGTAATCTGTTAAGCTTTTCTTCCTGCTTTAATAGATTTGATTCTGTTTAAGATTTAATAGATTATACGACGCATGAAATTGATTATGCACATACAAGCCAACACTAAAATCATATGACTGTTAGAAGCAGTCAAGGCTTTAAATGAAATTGATTTTCATAAGAGAAACATATTTAATCGATTAGGAAACTTATGTAATCGGTTATGTTCAACACTTAAGAAAATTTTCAAATCGTTTCAATTCTAAACAGATCAATACACTTATCAAACACATATTGGCATAGCAACGTGTTTTAATCGATTATACAACTAATGTAATCGATTACTACACAATTGTTTGCCTCTGTTTTAGCATACAAGTGTTATGGAGAAATCTAACAGATTATATACATTGTTTAATCGATTATTTCTTCCAGAAATGAAATACACAATGTGTTTTAAACCATGATTCATTAACGACCATTGAATACATATATCAAGCATCTCAAACACAAACAAAATAAGGATAAAGCAATTGTTATGCCATTTGTTGTGCAAGAAACCATAAAACCATTTTCTTGTTCATAATTAAAAACATGGGTATGTAAGGTAGACATTGGCTCCTCCTATCAACAATCTCCTTTTTTTATGATGCACAATAAGAAACATGTTTTGCAGTTACTCTTCCCCTTTGAGCATTAGAAAAAAATGACAAAATAGGTAACATGGACTAAGTGCTAAAAGAAACGTCAAGAAAATAATCCTTAAAGACCATTACAGAGTTTGATGCTCCCCTATCAAAAAGAGATGTAGCACTCTACCAGAAAGTGAGCAGTATGTTATTGATCATCAGAGTGTATATCAAAGCTCAATTTCATCAATTTGAAGCAGTATACTAGATATATATATATATATATATATATATATAACAAATACATATAAGAGTATTTATACTGAATTCAAATAATGATAGCATATAATATCATGTGGAATTCCTAATACTCAAGATAATGTATGCAATGGTGATAAAGCATAGAGTATTATTGCAGTTTAAATGTATGATATAAGCTATGATGCAGCAGAAAAATGTGATAAATGTATTAGCATATCTGCAACAGAGTTACCATCTCATAATGATGCATATATGATGGATTTCAAAACCAATTTGAGCAAAAGGCAACATATGATGTATGTTTTGTGCCAAACATGTATATAAGAACTGTTAAAACTTGTTTAGCAACTCATAATAGAGTTATAAGCATATAAAACCAGATTTTATAACCTAATCGATTACATTACTTATGTAACAGATTAAGAAAACTGCAGTTAACTGTTTAATCTGTTAAATTTTGCAGTAATGATCAAACTAATATTTTTGATCAGTCAACCTGTTTTGATTATATTGCAACCTACAAACACAACTTTCTCAACATTGTAACATGTTAGAATCATAATAAACATGATAAGAATACGATCTGTGTATCAATGCATGACCCATGAATGAAAATGAGCAATTTATCATATAATAGAATGATATTCAGTTTTCATCCGTTCAGAATAGATTCATCTATTCATTAAATGTGTGCAATCAGTCACATCCTTTCAGATATTGCAAATATATTAACTCAAACATCAAGATTGTATTTAACAAGTAGTTATAGGAAATTGTTCACAAAACCAGAATAAGCTTTCAAACAACTTTAAACCAAACAGAAGATAAATTGTTCAAAGGACAAAGTCTTATGGCTTGATTACAAAACATTTAAACCAAAGCAGAAATCAAAGCTAAATCATATGCTTAAGTAAAATGTTATCATCACTTTCTTCTGCTTCATTCTCCTCTTCATCATCATTTCCATCATCTCCATTGCCATCTTCTTCCATGGCCTCTTCATCTTCCTCATTCTCTTCAACCTCATCATCATCGTTTAAGCTCTGAATTCCCAGTTTCTCTTGGATAGCTGCAATGTCCTTGTCAAGCTTGTCAAACCGATATTGGTGGAGATTAGACAGTGAATGCATTTGTTTGACCATGAATTTCTCAAACTCTGTTTTTGGTATGAAGACATCAGATTATGAACCAACATTGTGAGTGGCAGGTGCATCTTCTTCATTTTGATTTTCATCTTTGAACCCAACCATCTTCACTGGGCCTAAGTCCCATATGGTGCGAGGCATTTTTATCAACCAGATTCCGCTTACCATAAGATTCACAAGATTCCTCAACACAGTCAACATGATAGTGGGGAAGAACCTTTGAAATGAAGACAACATAAGGTAAGCTAGCAACATCTTGCCTTGTTACCTTGCTCATATTGTCAGCAATTGCAGCGGCTGAAGCAGTTTGAATGTTCTCTTTTAGAGCATGAATGATGCATATGTCTTCTGTAGTTAATTGAGCATGATTGCTTCCTCTTAGAAGCAGAATCCAAGCAATCACAAACGTACAGAGATGGTCATCCCTCTTCATACCATTGGTTTTGTACAGAGAATAGTCTCGTGGTTGACTTGGATCTCTTAGACAGCCTTGATACACCGAGAATTTGTGTAGACCTTCAATTCCAAGATGAGTCTTTTCACCTCCTAGGTGAAATGCAGCAATGGAGGACCATAAAATCCCTTCACTAATCTTCAGATTGGAGTAGAAGACTCTCACAAGGTTTGGGTGCCAGGGGTCAGCCATTTCCACAAACGTTTTTAGCCCCTGATGTTCCAGCGAATCTTGAAAAATGAACCATTCTCTTCTAAAGAAGCTTAAATTGGTGTATTTATGAGGAATTATTTTCCTCAATCTCTAGTGATTTATAAAGTTGGTTTGAGCATCTTCATCGCTTATCCAACCGTCTAAAGTACGAGCCCGAGATCTTTGTGCCATTCTTTTCATGCGTTTAGGTTGAGAAGATGAAGCCATGTGAGAGAATTAGACGGAGAGCTTGATGGAGAGATTTTGAGGGAGGTCAAGATTTGAAAGTAGTTTTAGAAGAGAGTGGATGAACACTTTAACGAATTAGGGTTCCCTTCTAATAGATTAAGTCTAGTGGGAAGCTCATTTTAAAACTTGAAAGCCCAAACATAACTGGATCTAATCCGTTAACCCTTTTACTTAACCGATTAGCTTCATTGTATTTCACAGATTCAGCAAGTAGAGAAAACAATGGAAAAGTCTAATCGATTACATTAATTTCCTAACAAATTAAATCAGATTCAGGAAAACAGAGAAAACATTGAGAAAAAACTAATCAATTATATTATTTATATAATCGATTAAAACACGCAAACATGGTTTTTCACACAATACTTTCAATCAAATCAATCAACATTCAATACACACATGCAAATGATTGCACAGAGTATGAATGATGCATGTTTTGCTAAAAATAAAGCTTGTTACCACACTTGAAGATCTCAAGGGGTATATGATTCACTTTTTGAGCGCTCCTTGGGTCACTGTTTTCAATCCATTTCAGTTTCCTGCAAGCAGTTTAAAGCTTTGGTTGCAGGTACCCAAATGAACTTGGGACCTTTACTGTTAGTAGCTTGTGTTGGTCCCTTCGGGATGCCCTTGAATTTCCCTTTTGCAACACCAACCTTTCTATAATAGCATGCTTTGGATAAATGACCAATATTGTTGAAATAAAAGCAGGATATAGAGGAAGGTTTGCTAAGATCAGAAACCTTCCTAACATTGATTTTATTACTTTTACAAGTGCATCCTATTTCTTGCTTATTTATCACTCTACTTTGAGAACTTAGCACAGCTTCAAGGTTTTTTCTACCTAGAGTGAATTTAGATAGAGGATTCATCAAGTAATCAATTTTCTCTAGATGACCAGGACAATTTGAACATTCTTGAGTTTTTATTTTATTCTCAGTTTTAGCCTTCTTAGATGATTGTATAACAGTTTCTAGTTCAGTTTTCAGGCTGTCATTATCTTTCACAAGATTTTCAATTCTATTCTCTAGATCTCTCTTTTCACTCTTTAATCTATTAATTTGATACTACATTTTTGTAGCCTCACCATGCAGCTCTTGAAAAGCATCAAGCAATTGATAATACCTGTCCTCAATAGGCTCTTCATCAAAGCTGTCTTCACTGTTGTCTGAACACACTGAACCAGCCATCAAACACAGATTGGTTTCCTTTTCCAAGCTTTCATAGAGTCACTTGTAGAGCAGTTTGAGTCATTATCTTCCCAGGCTACATAGGCTTTCTTCTGCCTGTTCTTTCTGCTGTCTTGGCTGGTCCTGTCATCCAGCTTTTGCTTCATTTTCAAGACAGGGCATTCAGGTTTGATATGGCCTGCTTTGCCACATTCATAGCATGTTGGTACAACAACTTTTCTTTTCTTCCTGTTTGCTCTAAAGTTGCCTGCAAAATCAGAACTAAATTTATTCTTAGATTTCATAAATCTTGAGAATCATTTTACCATAAAATTCATTGGATCCAGCTATGGATTCTCAGATTCTGAATCAGCCCCTTTAGAGTGTTTTCTTGAAGTTGTTTTGTTTGAGTCTTGAGGGCTATGGTGTGCTTTTGTTCACTTTCTTCCTCCTCTCTCAATCTGCCTAGCTCAAGCTCATGTTCCCTCAATTTTCTAAACAGTGTAGCCAAGTTCATAGATGTCAATTCTCTTGATTCTGAAAAGGCAGTGACCTTTGGCTGCCAACTTCTGTTTAGACTCTTCAAGATATTGATGTTGATTTCTTCCTTTTCAAAAGTCTTTCCCAAGGCAAGAAGGTGATTGACAATATGAGTGAATCTTTTCTGTACATCATAGATAGTCTCACCAGCCTTCATTCCTGGATGAGAAAATTCTTTCTTACTCTTTTAACCTCATTTGTTCCTTCATGGGTGACCTCTAGAACATACCACATTTTTTTTGCCATTGCACACATAGAGATTATGTAGAATTCATTAATATAGTGAGTGTTGAGGAGATGATGTTCTTGGACTTTACATCGTAGTGAGCTCTTCTGTTCTCGTCTAAAGTTCATTCCGAAAAGTCCTTCACCTTTATCTTACCATTCTCCATTTTTGTTGGTTCAAAGGGACCATTTATAACAACATCCCATACACCCTTGTCTACTAATTCCAAGAAAATCTTCATATTGATTTTCCAAAAAGGGTAGTTCTCACCCACATATAGTGGTTGTCTATTTGTGGATGCCCCTTCTCCAAACGTCTGGCATATGTTGGCCATTAGGAACATTTTAATCGATTATACAAAAAACCTAATGGATTAAAATTCGAGTAACTTTCGAATTCCTAGCTCTGGTGCCAATTGTAGAAAAGTGATGCCTTATTTATCAAGCCAAGAGGGGGGTGAGTTGGATTTTTCCTTAAAAATGTTCTTTTCAAAAACTTAGCAAAATTTTTGGTTTTCTTGAAACCAATAAAGCAAGTATAATGAATCAACAATAAAAGAGACACGAGAGAAAGATCAGCACAACAATATATACGGGTTCGGCCAAGCTTACATCTAGTCTTCATTCAATCAACCTTAGTTGAAGGGATTCCACTATAATGATAGAGTATACAAGAATACAGTGATATCCCCTCTCAATGCACTCTCCTAACCACTCAATATCTCTTATAGAAATACAAGATGTGAACACCCTTACAATCTTACCAACCAGAGAACACTCACAACTCTTTAAACACCTTGAGAACAATCTCAGCTGTTAATGAGAACAATCACAGTTCTCCCCCTGGCACCGCCGCATAGGAACTAAATCTACTAATTGAAAACGATGATACTGACCCTCACAACAACACTCTAGTAGTGTAGATATGATCAGGACACTTTAAGCTCACTTTCTTGATAGAATCTTGATGTATAAACCCAAATTTGATCTTTGATTCTTCAAGACTGTTCTTAGACGCTCCTGCAATCAATACACAATTAAAATATTAGTTATGAAATTGATAGATCAAAAGATTAGTTTGAAACAACGCGCAAGACAATTATTTATAGGATTTTTGAATCCTAACACACATTAATCAATTACGTAATTTATGTAATATGTTAAGCTTTTCTTCCTGCCTTAACATATTTGCTTCTGTTTAAGATTTAACAGATTATACGGCACATGCAATCAATTATGCAATTCATACAAGCCAACAAGAAACTCATATGACCGTTAGAAGTAGTTAAAGCTTTAAATGAAATTGATTGTCACAAGAGAAACTTATTTAACCTATTAGGAAAATTAGGTAATCGCTTATGTTCAACACTTAAGCAAATTTTTCAAATCAATTTCCATTCTAAACAGTTCAATGCACTTATCAAACACGTATTGGAATAACATGTTTTAAACGATTATACAACTAATGTAATCGTCACAACTATTTGCGCTTGTTAAGCATACAAGTGTTATGGAGAAATCTAACAGATTAGATACATTGTTTAATCGATTATGTTTTCCAGAAATGAAATATACAATCTATTTTAAAGCATGATTCATTCACAACCAATGAATACATATATCAAGCATCTCAAGCACAAACACAATAAGGATAAAGCAATTGTTATACCATTTGTTGTGCAAGAAACCATAAAACTATTTTCTTGTTCATCATAAAAAACAAGGGTATGTAAGGTAGACGTTGGCTCCCCCTGTCAACACTTATTAAATGTGGTTTAATTTACCTTAAAGATGTTTTATATTATTGTTTTTTTAATAATACTTGCTTCAAACTAGTTTAACCAGTTTTGGATAGAGCTGAGTTTTTGTGTAGTTGATTGAACCAGTAACTGGATTGGTCGAACTGGCCAGTATGATTTTAAGATCGCTGGTTTAGCAGTATCAATATACCTTTTCCTGAATTCTTTTATTAAAAATACAAATAAGTGAAGTTAATCCTTATATCGGTGTAATGATGTGTTATCTTCATGCTTGCAAGATAATTCACGTGTTTTATTTTTCTGTCTATCTGAAGCAGGCTAAAATTAGGACCCTCGAAACTCAACTCAATGAAACTATTAAAGCTCAATCTAGTTCAATATCTGTATCAGAGCCAGAGTCTGCTGATCTATCCAATTCAAAATTTACTGGAGATGGCATAGATTCTTCTGCAGTAACCAGAAAACTAGAAGAGGAACTCAAGAAACGTGATGCACTAATTGAGGTCAGTTATGGTTGGCAATTGTGTCTGAATGTCAGTCTTTTATTTATTTTTTCCTATTATTATATGGTTATTGCTTTCACCTTAAACCAAAATTTTCATAAGAAATATTACTGGCCACAGCACTCCGTACATCTTATAGATGCAAAACGGTATGCATACAAGTACATGGAATGGTTGAACCATCATCTTTGAAAGCAACAATTTAGTCTAAAACTGAAACGGTGATATGGTTAATATGGTGGCATTTTTAATATATATGATAAAAGGGAAAAAAAGACAAGAGCCTGCAGTCTAGAAAAGACAGCTTAAAATTTTGGTTTCTATTTTCAGATGACCTTCTAGATGCTAAATAGTATACATACGAGGGCATGGAGTGGGTGGACGATCTTGTTTAAGTAATAATTAATTCTAGAACTCAAATGGGGATATAGTTAGTTTGGCATTGTTAATATATATGATGAAAGGGCAAAAAATATAAAAGCTAAACCTGCAGCCTAGAAAACACAGCTTAAAATTTTGTTTTGTTTTTTCTGACCTTTTAGTTTTTAGAATATATACTCCGTCTAAAAATTTCTAGATATTTCTTTTTGTTTAATTCTTCAGCTGTATTGAATATTTATAGGCCTACTATAATTGTATATCAGGCTAAATTTGATATTTGATGGTCTGCAGAGGTTGCATGAAGAAAATGAGAAATTGTTTGATAGATTAACGCAGAAAGCATCTACGGCTGGATCACCCAAGGTAGGGAAGTTTCACAACTCTCTAGAATAACTGTATACTATCACTATCTGTATTTCTTATGATACGATATGGAGAGCTTATGAAAGGAAGAGAAGAGGGAATAATGAGGGGGAGAGGCATTAATGAGTTGTGACTGTAATAACAGTGTGGCAGGAAACAAAGCTCATATAAAGGAGATGATGTATCTTGTATTAGTTAGTTATTAGAATTGTTTACTTTGTATATACAGGATCACTCTTATCCTATGGAGGGAGAACTTGGCTCTCTTGGAGGTTTTGGCTGTACAATTTACCCAATTCAATACACAATTACTCAGTTTATTGTCTTTTCTGCTTGTTTGGTGTGTGTTGAGTGGAACTGAGAAAGGTTTCATATTCAGAAAGTTATCAATTTGGTCCGACCTGATGGATGATCGGGAGAAAGGAGCGCAACGGAGGGAAAATTGAGTATGCAAGAAGGAAGAATGGAGGGAATGATGAACCCGTTGGAGGGCCGAATGGAGGCAATGGAGACGACGATGGGTGGGTTGAAAGTGGAGACAATGGGGTTACGCCAAGAAATCAAAGAACTCACTCGAATTCTGGGAGGGCAAATGTAAAACGTTGATAGCAATCAGGAGGGAAGTCAAGACTCAATGAACTAAACTAAAGGAGGAAGAAGAGAGGGCACCAACGAAGAATTGGGCCACGATCGGAGCGACGCACAACCCAATTGGGTGAAGAGGATCGATTTACCCACCTTCGAAGGTATCAACCCATTAGGATGGGTTTCCCGAGTGAAAAAATTTTGAGATTCAGAATGTGACGGAGAGGGAAAAACTCCGGCTGGCTTATGTTTGCATGGAGGGAACCGCGAGTTACTGGTTCCGCTTCTGGAAAGATAAGGCCAAGAATCCATCGTGGGAAGGATTGAGGGAAGCCCTGGTGAGGAGATTTGGGGGTTGAGACAAGGGTACGATATTCGAGAGGTTAGCAGCGATCAAGCCGAACGACACCGTGGATGAATACATGCAGGAGTTTAAGATGTTAGTGGCGCAGACGAAGAGCGTGAGAGGACCAACTCCTGGTATTCGGGCTGGCAAGGGGAAATAAGGAGTCAAATTCACCCTCATAACCCAAGGGATTTGTTCACGACTATAGAAGTCGCGCGAGATGTGGAGGAGACGAGTCGAGGCGCGAGAATGATTGGAGGAACCGTGACCAAGGGCGGCCAGTCCTAGGGGTGATATCAAGGAGGGACATAAATAGTAGTGAGGTTGGAACCGTTCAAAAATGCTCAAGGACGACAAGGAGTTGCGGAGAACGCAAGAGCGAAAAGGAAGGAGGGTCTCTGGGAATGACGACGTCCAAAGCGGGAAGCAACACGGTGAGCGACGCTCGCAGTAGAGGGGTGAGAAATCTACCCCACCTATAGTACATCAAAAGGAGGGAAGAGGGGCGGTGTTTCCATTGTGGCGGCCCTTATAGCCCACAGAGAGAGGCTTGAGGGTGGTGATCATGGGGGAAGAATATGCGGGGCAGAAACTGATTGAATTGTCATCGTTTTTCGCGGGAGGACTCACTCAACCCAAGACCATGAAGTTATAAGGTTGGCTCAGAGGGAGGAGAGTGATGATCCTCATTGACAGTGGCACTAGTAACAACTTTTTAGGAAAAGAGTTGGAGGAACTGGGTTTGACTGTGGAGGATACCCCGCCGTATCGGGTGAGTATGGGAGACGACCGAAAGAAGTAGACGGAAGGGTGCTGTAGGGAAGACTTCGTGAATATAGGTGAAATGGAGGTGGTAGAGCCTTTTTACTCGTTTGAATTGGGAGGAGTAGACCTTATTTTGCGGGTGGAATGGTTGGCTAAACTGGGGAGAATTAACGATGGTCTATAAGTAAGGAGAGAAAGTAGTAACGATCAAAGGGGACCCCATGTTGGCGAGAAGAATAGTGAAGCCAAAAGCTTTGTTGAGAATGAAAGAGGTGGAAGCGGTTACGTTGGTCTGGAGTTTGGGGAAGATAGAGATAAATCTAGAGGAAGAAGAAACCAATAAGGGGCTATCATGGAGCTAGGCAGAGGAGTTGCATCAGATTTTAACACACTTTGAAGAGATGTTTGGAGAACCTAGGGACCTACCCGCAACCCGCAACGTGGTTCACCAGATCATTCTCAAAGAAGGGATTGATCCCGTTAATGTCCGCCCTAGAGATAATCTCACGTGATGAAAGAAGAGATTGAGAATTAGGTTGCTGAGATGTTGAAGGTAGGGATAATACAACATAGCACGAGTCGTTACTCGAGTCCTGTGCTATTGGTTAAGAAAAAGGATGGCAGCTGGCGTTTTTGTATTGATTACAGAGCGTTGAATCGCGCCACCATACCAAATAAATTTTCCATCCCCGTCACAGAGGAGTTGCTGGATGAGTTAAGAGGGGCGAGATACTTCTCGAAGGTGGATTTGAAGGCGAGGTATCACCAGATTTGCATGGGGGAGGATGATGTCTAGAAGACAGCCTTTAGGACACACCAATTCCATTATGAGTTCCTTGTTATGCCTTTTGGCCTCACTAATGCGCCAGCCACTTTCCAGAGTACAGTGAATGATTTGTTGAACCTAAGAGCTGGAATACAGTTCTCCCATGGGCTGAGTTATTAGGGCATGACTAAGTGTAGCCCATTTGAGACAGTTTATGGAAGGCTCCTCTTGCCCTTACTTGTTACATACCAGGGGAAACTGCAGTAGAAGCAGTGGCTCAAGAGCTCCTGACAAGAGATGAGGTGCTCAAGCAGCTTAGATTTCATTTAACAAGGGCACATGATTTGATGACCAAGTATGCTAACCACAAAAGGAAACCAGCAAAGGTTAAGGTCAATGATTGGGTGTATATGAAAATTAGACCCCACAAACAAGCATGCAAGCCAACACGGTTGCATCCCAAACTATCAGCATGATATTTTGGGCCTTTTAAAGTGATACAGCAGATGCCAAACAAACCAAGAATACATCCTGTATTCCACGTGTCTCAATTGAAGGTGGTAGTGGGAACCAAACAAGTTGAGAGGGATTTGCCGAATGAATTGCAAGCGGATGATCAACCATTCTGGCCTCTCAGAATTCTTGACAGAAGGCAAAAACAGTGGGATGATGAGATGATACTGCAAATTTTGGTTGAATGGCAAGAAGGTGGGAAGGAGGGAGCAACATGGGAGGATGTGTGACCATCCAAGAAGAATTCCCAGACTTCAACCTTGAGAACAAGGTTGCACATAGGCGGTGGGTAATGATAGGATATGGAGAGTTTATGAAAGAAAGAGAAGAGGGAATAATGAGGGGGAGAGGCGTTAATGAGTTGTAACTGTTTTGTGGCGGGAAATAGAGCTCATATAAAAGAGCTGATGTATCTTGTATTAGTTAGTTTTTAGAATTGTTTACTTTGTATAGACAAGATCATTCTTATCTTGTGGAGGGAGAACTTGGCTCTCTTAGAGGTTTTGGCTGTACAGTTTACCCAATTCAATACACAATTACTCAGTTTACTGTCTGTCTACTTGTTTGGTGTGTGTTGAGTGGAATTGAGATAGGTTACCTATTCAGAAACCTATCATCTTATTAGCACTTTAAAATTTGACACTAACTATTTTAATGTTTGTATATCAAATTGTGATCATTTGTTTGAATAAATTACATTGTATAATATGGCCCTCTTTCTTTTGATTAATGGTTGTCTCAAAGAACTAAGTGCTTTTTATCTTGCATAGGAGTAATGTTTGAGTGTGAAGAACTTTTAATTCAAAATCTAGTTCTATTCTATGGGCTGCAACCATAGATGTCATTTTTTGATCAACTTCTTTAGTCAAGAAGCCGATCAACCCTGTCTTTCCTCAAGAACTCACACAAACAGTCTAAATATTACGTATTTTTATTTAGATGAGGGAAAGAATTCTGCATACAAGAGTCACCCTCAAGGAAGCCCATCTCCCTCCCATTGGAACAAGTTTCCAGTCAAAATCAAATGTACAAAGAAGGCTACCCTTCCCTTTACAAACTAACTCCTATTTATAGTATTCCCCTTCCTTCAAACTAACTACTAACTGACACTACTTTTTTTCCCGCTCTTATTTCTCCTTAGTTTGTGCTCCTCTCCTTTTCTTCCTCTTATATACCTTTAATTTTCTATCATTACCCTCCTCAAAATCAACCTTGTCCTCATGGTTGAAGTCAAGAAACTGTTGCCTAGTATTAATCTCATCTTCCTACGTAGCACCCTCCATTCCTCCCTCCTACCATTGTATCAACACCTGGGGTATCTCCTCTCCTTGTTGCTGCTTGTTTCTTCTTTGCAACACTTTTAATGGTCTACATAGGGGCCCTTCCACCTAATGTGCCCCAATAGCTATCTTTAATTGCGAAACATGGAATATTGGATGTATTCTAGTAGTTTTTGGCACCTACAATCTAAAAACCACTGGTCCCACTTGTTTTTCTACCAAAAAAGGTCCATATTATCTCGCAGAAAGCTTAGGGTGCAACTTGGTAGGCATAGAAACTTGCCTAGGAGGTCTGATGTTGAGGAAAACCCAATCCCCCTCCTTTATCCTTGACGCCTTTCTCTTCTTGTTGGCATACTGTGTCATTTGGTACTGAGTCCTAGCTAAATGGTGTTACAACTGTTTTAGAGTCTCATCCTTGGCTTGTAGGTCTTGAGCCACTGCTTCGTAAGAGTGGGCGGCAACCTCCCATAAACAGTCTCAAAAGGGGTGCTGATAGGTTCTTGGGATCAAGAACCTATGGAAAGACACTCAAGAACACACAAAGACAAATTATCTGAATTATACAGCCCTCCTTTTATTGAAAAGAATCACAAGAATGGTGATACAACGTAACCCGAGAGCTTAACCTCCCTCCAAAGAACTACCAGAGTTCCCGCCAAACAATAACACTCAAAACTAATCCCAACCAACCACTAATCCCCCTTTTATATCACTTACTAACA